AGATGTGATCTCAAGCACATTTTTTGTACTCAAATACAGGTAAATGCCCTTAACCAGAGCTTTATGTTTCTGAAATTATTGTGGTGTTATCTGTGGGATTATTTTTTTCTGTTTTTCTTAAAGTGGTTGAGTCACCTTATACAGAATATGTATGTTCAGCACGGCATTACCACAAGCATTTCCTCTCCTCTTTTCTGTTCCCAGAAAAAAACTTCTGGATAGCCCACTCTCATCACCTTTGTCAAGTTAGGGGGGTAATCAGTCACTGGAAGCCCTTTGTAGCTAATGATTATGTCATTTATTTTACTGGCCATTGAAGGGGTATTGATAAATGAGGCACTCCTGAAGGTAAGGTGAACACTCCTGAACACATCTTCCTGCCTGACACTTGCTGTATCTGTTGAACAGAAGCCAAGTATACCTACTGGAGGCTGAACTACATATTGTCCGGTTACTAGGAAACACTTCAATAAAAGTGTAAAAGCTACATTTGTGATACACTTTTAAATAAGAATAAAAAATGGTAATTCTCTTCTGTTTGAGAATACCAAGAAAGTCTAACTTGGCTCCTATTACCTTATGCAGAAGTGTTTTTAAAACCTTCTTAGACACTGTATTTAGATCCCGCAAAGTCATGGGAAGCAGTTCACTTGGTTTCTTCAATATACGAACATTTAAAGTAGTGCTGACACACAGGGATTCCTGGTAAATCCACACTGAGAATCCAAATGCCCATTTCCATTACAGCTGCAAGGTAGTGCATGCCTAAAGGTACAGGTATTACATACAGGTCCTTAGAGACAAGGGGGCATTATTAACTTACTAATTATAAAGCGAACCGGTAGTTCTTATTTGGCATTCTGCAAATCTTCAAGAATGTTTTATCAGCCACTAAATACATTAGGACTACTGACATCCTGAAACGCTTTGGTTTTAATAACCTACCCTAACACCTGATATAACAGTAAAATTACAAAGATCATGTTCAGGAAATCAAACAGATCTTCCTGGCATTCTATCCAGGCTTATAACCAACATGCTCTCTTTTTAATTATGTATTAATTTGGAACAATTTTATAAAGCTCTCACTGCATTTGGGCCCCCGTCTACCCAGAAATCCGCATTACCTGGGAGCATATAATGAAATAGAATTATAATAGATTATGTAAAAACTGAATGTACAGTAGTCTAATACATGCACTGCCATACCCTCCTCATCAATAGTTAAAGGAACTCAGCAGTATCGTTGGCAAGATACCGCCAACAGAGCTGAAGCAATCTCATGCTTGCATTAATTTTTATTTCAAAAATTTTAGCCAGTAATTTCTTATGTCTTCTACATACCTAATTAATGTAGAAGATAAAACATACCAGAGACATATTATTAGATCTCGGCATGAAACAGTTAACAGCAGAGCACATGCCAAGGTTTTAATAAGGCTTAACAATAAAAAGCTTCAATCCTCCACTTTCACTAGATTTTGTTGTTGTGGTTTTCCCTTGCTTAGGGCAATCCATCTGTTAATGTTGACTTGTAATATAGCTAAGCTCGCACACGTATAAAAAGCCTGGAACAGCTAACCTAAGCAAGAGTAAGCTCAAATGAATATTACAGAGATAGAACAATTCATCTTAGGCAAAGATTAATTGTGTGTGCGCACACGCGCGTGCACACAGGCACATATGAGTGCACTTCCATTATTTCTCTTTTTAGGAAAGACTTTCAAAATCCAAATTATAGGATCACTATAATCACAGGCTGATCACTACAGTTTGCATTTAGACATTAATTATTTATCATTTGATTAGGTTTTGACAGCTATTTTACATGCTATAATTTGTTTTGATTTATTGTTAATTTTTTTAAAGTCTTAGTGCCGATCTGGCAAAAAAAAAAAAAAACTACAATAAAACCGCTATGACAGCAGTGATAAAGCTTAGTAAATATTCATTGTTAAAAACGGCTCTGCACTGTGACCAGTGCTGGTATTCTCCCTGGGCCAAACTGGCCTTGTTTTCAATAAAACCAGAGAAGTATCCCTTCCCTTGAGCCCTGTTAGGCTGAGGCTGCAGTTGGAACTGTCATCTTCACACAAAAGCAAAGGGGTTGGGTTTTACAAACGCAAAGCCTAATTGGGAGATCTTCATGGCTGTACCCTTGACATTTATTAAAGCCTCATCAAGAAAACAGGAAATAACCGTACTAATTAGGAGACCCACATACAAACTACTATTTGTTGGGGTAAAAGCAGATTCACTTCCTATTGTAAAGGAAATGTCCTCCCAGACCCCAAAATCCTGTTATGAACCAGTTATTAAAATGGTCTTTTACAGTGAGGCAAACTTTCAAATCATACATAATGTAAATATGTCTTACAGCATCTCAGGTAACTATTAGTATTTATTTTTAACTGTTTCAAAGAAGTGAAGACTGAAAACCTCAATGCCTGCATCTAACATGACACAAAATATAACAGCAAATTCTTCATATTTACAAGTTCCTGAATGTTACAGTATGGAAGAGACAGTAATAAAGTGCAGAGATGCCTCTTAATTGGAAGCAAGATGACCATTAAAATCAATCTCTCTCTTTCGTTTGTTTGTTTAGGTTTTGGGGGGATATTCAAATACTCTGACATTCCAACTTAATCAGTATCTGGTCCTTACTTTAAATATACATCAAAGTGCATGAACTGCATGTTAGCACTACCCTTATACTGCTATAGACACTCATGAGCACCTTTCAGAAATCTGGATGGAGAGGCTCAGAGTTACAGAAAAAGGATTAAACCTGACAACAACAGCAGATTCAGTACTAGATCAAACATAGTCCCTCTCATACACATGCACTTGTGAATACAAATATATTTTTTTATTTGGATGTAAAGATTAAAATCACCACTTATTCATAAAGAACTTGCATTTATGTTATCTTATTCAAATACTTACCAAGAACAAAAATTAAAACAAGATACGCAACAGTAGACTATTATTTTTCAGAAATATTTTGGTTTGTTTGCTTTTGGGGAGGAGGAAAAAGTGGGAATAGCATGCGTGAGAGGTGAAGGAAACTGTGCGAGAGCAGAGTTCTTGGGGAGCAATCAGGATTTGCTCCTTCCTGCCCAGTAGGCTCACGTGACATTTGGGATGAGAACTGAGGAGAAGACACAGGATCTTCGGTTTGCAGCAAGGCAAACATGCTGGGTTATCTGTTACAAGCTTTGCTGGTAAACCAACCCTATATATGTACATGTATACGCATACATAAACGAGGCATGTGTACATGTATATATTTAAACAAAACTATGGACAGATATGCACTTGTTTTGCCTTGTTTTCAAAACTAAAAGATGACTGGTAGAAACAGCAACAATGATACTAAAGGACTTAGCAGTACAGCTGTACGAACACAAAAACATACAGCAGTTAAATTGTTCTGTCCGAACACAGGCCTTCAAAATAAATGTTTAATTGTACCAGAGTAAATTCTATTCCCGTGTATCCCTAGACTCCTGTACCTAATGGCAACATTACCATATCAGTACATTACTGTTGATTTCTTTAATAAAAGCAGCCTATAAAAATCCACTGACTACAAGGGTACATTTGTGTCATGTACTTACACAGATACACACAATTGTAGATTCACCTACACTAATCTGTGAATGCTGGCTTATAATGCATTAAAAGCTTTTTAGTAACTCATCAGATTATTTTGGTGGGGGGAAGCTGCTATATATTAAAATGATAGTAATGTATTAGAAAAAATAATTTAAGAACCATTTACATTATTAACATTGGAGGTCTATACTCATACATTTAGAATTGTGTGTCTTCTCTTTTGATACTCAGTGAAGAAAATCTACTGTATACAAGCTCCTGATAGAATGCAGGCACCACAGCTGCCTGTATATAAAAATACACTGAGGGCACACAGTTTAAAACTTTATCATTGGCTTTAAGAGATCACGAAAGCATGCACAAAGTAAAACCTGCCTAAATAATTAAAGCAGAAAGTCTTGTATTATTTATAACTCTACTAAAAATAATGACTTAATACTAATGTACAGTTTCAACATCATTTAGCAATATTCTGCATCAGATCTGTTAAATTTCACAAACTTTGTATTTATTACAGATAAAAACTAAATCAAAATCAAATTCATTAAATAGCTAATTCAGACTTTTATCACTGCAATATCTAAAGTAAAAACACAAATGTTGTTACATCAGCTGGATCGAATTTTTGTACTTGATTCTCGTATGAGGAAGATATAAGCATTAAAAAACATATATAAGCATTCATCACGTATTAAAAACAAGCAATAACAATATCATGTAAAAACACACACCCACATGTCAAAATATGCACACATGCATGTATTTATTCCCAGGAAAAAAGTGGTACAAAGACTATTTTATTGATATCTTTGAAATAAAACTGTCAAAATGAATGCAAAGACATTAAAACAGTTGCCAAAGTTGAGACACTACACCTGTTACTTCAAATCAAGACTAGAAAGGATTAGAGAACAAAAGGACAAGAGATTGGCACTGTATTAACTAGCTGACACTAATAAAATAATAAATCATAACTATCTGAGCAGGGTTAAGGGCCATATGACTGCCAAATCATTTTATTAGAAATACAAAATTAATGTGTGTCACTATAAGAAACTAAAAAAGAAAGCTTAACACAAATCTGTGAATAGACCAGAATGTATTTGCTGTGAGAAGCCTTTATCATAAACAGTACTGAAGATTTATTTCAGATCCATGCTTATAAACCTCCTGGTTTTTCCCCTCTCAACAGGGATGAAATACGAATAGCATTTTTCCTCCATTCAAGCAGTACAGAAGTATTTCTATACATGTAGCCTTTTAATCACAATATCCAAACAGACAGTAAAACAATCTTCATTCACCAATGCATTACTATAAGTGGCAAAAAATTTTCCTCATACGTACGTGAATAAAAACAGAAGTTTCAGGTGTCTTACCTGTGCCAGTCGTCGTTTTTCTGAGTTTGCTCTTTTCTCGCAATGCAATGTGTAGACAGGAGCAGTCTGTACTGCACCAGCACTGCAAGTGCCATGCTCTTCCTCACTCTCCTACGCAACAAAACATATTTAAACTCCTTTATTTATAATCATTATCTGCAAACGTACCCTCCACATTATGCATGCAGTATGCATTCAAAATTATCTTGCCATAATCTATTACTGTCATGAAAATACCATCTGTAGTAAGAAAATCAAATTTAGCTTTTCAAGAAGCTCAATTATCAACATCGTCATTTAAAAGATCAATTGTTCAAACATCTAGGAAAGTTTTCTTAAAATAGCATAAAATATATCTAAAAAATGGTTCCTCCTCCCTACAGAAAAAAATCCTACATAGAAACAAAATTTTCAATGGGAAAAGCAGCTGCAAAATTCCTAAAACATCTTTTCTGACACTCCTGCAATGTTGCTTTTGCAAAATGAAACTATTCCCTGGTTTTTACACATTGCCATTGTTCACACATCTTATGAAACCAAAACGGACAACTACACCTTCTGAAGTACACTGTACTGCAAGACTCTCCCATCTCAAATTCTCAGCTTGAAGCAAAGGCTTCGATTGTGATATCAAAGCAATCAACTTTATGAAAACATACATTCTGTTAATGTATCTTTGAAGACCTCTGTTGTTCTATGATAAAATATGCAAACAATAAAGAGATTATTCAGTGGATGCGTAGAATGACAGATAGTTGCCAGAGGGCTTGTTATGAAAAATGTATTGTTGAACAAAGGGCTAAGCATATTTCAAAAGTCATTAAAAACACAAATCTCATGTGATTTGTAAAGTATAAGCTTCAAACTGATACAGGAAGCAATGGAAGAAAGTAAAAAGTATACTACGTACCTTGTGTTTTAACTTACTCTTCACTTCTTTAATTCCTTGCCTTGCTTGATTTTTTGCCTAGAAAAATAAAATAACTTAAGCACCTCTGCAAGACACCGGCTGTAGTCATGGAACACGCTTTATGATGTCATACTTATTTTACCTTTTTTTTTTTTAAACACCTGGTTATATAAAGAAAGGCAATCACCTTTATCACAAATTTCATACATGCGTTATCAGTATATTTTATACAGTCATGCTTTGTCTGTATATTTAAGGATTTTTTTCAGTACACGTATGCCAATGCTGTGAAATCATACATACTCAACAATTCTCCAATATTACTAAGGACAGGCTAAAAATGGTCATATATATCACCCCTTTATTTGAAATGGTCCTTTAAATTTGAAAGGGTATTTTAGCAGTAAGGCATGTTGGAAAAAATGTTAAGATTTTCAAGATGACTGCTACAGCGTTCCAGTCTGGCAACTTGCAGGGCAACATCAATCTTAAGAGAAATGAAGTGATTTCATATGCAGATGGAGATTTTGCCCAGTGTTGCTGAACAGCATAGTGCTGCTATTTCGGGCAGAATTCTGTATGTATTAAAATAGGCAGCCAAGGATCACTGTTGCATAGAAAACAGCCAAGAATGTTATTCAATAAAGAAATTAATTATAAATACAGAATACCATGTACTTATGCTAAAAAAAAAATTAAAAAAAAAAAAAAGAAAAAAAGAGAGGGGAGCAGGAAAAAAAAAAAAAAAAAATGGGGTGGACAATGACACCAAACCCCTAACTCTAATAGAAGAAAAGTATCTTTGTTATATGAATATACAAAAAAATGACACAGGTTTTCAAGGCTGTCTTGAACATAGGACTTTTAAAAACACATTTAAGGGCATAAATACGTGGAAACCACCTATTTTTCTATGGGTTTCTATACATGGATATTCAGAAAAAAGAAAATAATTTTCTTGATTCAAAAAGTCAGAGAGTCTTTTTGATCCTTAAATCATACATCTATAAGCTCAGTAACAGCACAATGGGGTGCCATGTAGCAGATGCTAACCTGAGAGCCACTTTAAACTTTCCAGATCAGGCTCACAGCATTTGGACGAATTTTGGAGTGCTTTGTTCTAACTCTGAGGGATGATTCCAAGCACATTACTCAAGGCTACCACCAGTTATCTAGCAATTAAGAAATGCATATTTCATTTCCCTACTACTAGGCTCCATAAAGGGCAACAACATAAGAAATTAAATGGGTTATAAATACAAATACCTTATACACACAGATCCTTACAAAATTTATCACTGTATCCTGGCATACACAGAAGTTCACTTTGAAGAACCTTTATTATCAAGGACATAATTATCAAAATTGAAGGCTGGGAGGAGATCATGTAACCACAGCCTAAGCTGTTCCAAACTGAAGAAGAATAATTTTCAGATAACCTGTTAACGAATCATTTTTTAAATTATAAATGAGTCCATGAATATGAAGTATATTTAATTTATTTACCTGTTTCTTTCCACAACTGCTGTGTTTCTCAACTGATGTAAAATTAAAAATTCTGTTTGAAAACTTTACTTAAAATACACTAGCTTAGACTGATGTACTGATTTATTCAGGACTACTTATTATGCATCCAACTAGTAGAAAGGCAAAAAGGAAGCCAAAAGTCTCTTCCCATATATTAAAAATGCAACCTGAAAATACTTCTGACTTCATTTTACACTACTGCTGTTTCTCCATACTGCATCATACTGTATAATTTCACATGATTTATTGGTTAGTCTTCGAAAACAAGATCTTTTAAGGTCAAAAATATAAGCACTAAATCCAGTTAAACATATGAGTATTCTAGTATCACCTTTAAAAGAGCAGATGATAAAAAAGACTTGCTGGACACATTACTGATGCTTTACCAAATTTTTCGGTAGTGCAGCACTTAGTGGCAAAGTGAAATTGCATCCATGTAAGCCAGGACTCCGTTTGTCCAGCAGGAACCGTACCTCTTCTGAACAGAGATACCTACATCAGGTTAACACTATATACTATCTAACTATATACTGTAACGCTATATTTATATTACATAGCAATGTAACATTTACAAAAGGTTTTACACTCACACTAACTTTGCGATGCTCGTGTTGTGTTACAGGACCTCAGCATAAATGAGAATTTCTATTTTCAGAGTCCATATTTTAATCATGTTGTCAGCAGGTTAGGAAGAGTTTGCAGCTGTGCGTCAAATATCTAAACGATATTCAAATAAGCTTCTAGTGTGTATCATGATTGAAACAAAACCAGCTCACTGATGCTTTGAAAATGTCTATGGTTGCGTACAAGCTATCTGGAAGACTCTGAGTCAACTCCAAAGCCTAGCGCTACGTGAGAAAACAAATGAAGCTAAAAACTTCCTAGCACTAGCAAACCACTAGCAGCTGAAGTGGTTTTCTGCAGGAAATTTATAAAATGCTTAGGTTTTTAAGTATTGAGGAAGAACAAGTGTTTGCACTAAGTTACAGTATTTTTATGTATCACTTATTTGAAATAGATGATCTTACAAATTTATACGCCGTTTTCACAGCCGGCGTGGCTTTGGTCATTGCTGTGTTGATCAGTGCACTGCCTTTCTGAAATATACAAAAAAGGTATTTTAGAAACATTTTAACACAAGTCAAACCTTAAGATGACAGCAAGGAAAAATCAACATTGTGCTGTAAAGAAACAACAATCTTCCTTTTAAAGTGGTAAGAATAACCACAGCTGTGTTTCCTCCCCAGCCTGCTGTCTGCAGCTACCCAAGGGTTACAGTACGTCATTATCATAGCTGACACATTTATCAATGCCGTCTAACAGAATGATGTATTTTCATTCTTCATTCATTGTTACCATTTCAAAACCAATTCAGAAGTTATGGCTATTTTTCATGCATTCCTATTATATTTATTATGCAACTTAAAAATACTTTGACCTGACAGAAAGAACCATCTCATTTAATCACACAAGGTTTCTCTTAATCCAAAATAATGTGTTTTACTAATCCTGCAGAATAACAAGGTTATACCAAGTGTTTTCTGCTAGCCAAACTGCACAAATTCATATTATCAAAATTGCTTTTTACTAGAAGTGATAAATATCATATCAAATGGTACTGTCACACCTAATTCACGGTTACAGAATGTAATGTGATACAGGAAGCAGTGAAATCCCTCACTACACAGACAGAAAAACATTGCACGTTTTGGCAAATTTTTTGTGTATGGGACTTTTTTTTTAAATCTTCAGGGAAAAAAACCCACAAAATTATTGCATATACCATAGATGTATTATTTACTATAGAATATACTTGTATTTTCCTTGCAAATGAATTAACTTTTACCATTACATACATGTAATGAAAAGGACAAAGACTTAAAGAACTGGACGGCCAGAATAATTAACCATCTTTATACCTTCACTGTATGCATCCACTGCTGATAAGACCTTGAATTTCCTGAAATAGAAATGTAAAATGTAACACACCAAACCTACATTCAACATTTTAAATGTTTCCCCCTCTCCTCGCAACCCACATAAAAAATTCCCATAGAGGATTATTCATTAATTTCATTCTTCCCAGACAGACAAGGAATGTAAAGACAAGAACATGTGCACACTAAGAAAAAACCCTAGGTATTTCTTATTTCATGTTTTCTATTTTCTTTGTGAAAGTGTATCTTTTCACCAGAGTCTTTAATTCCAATTGAGGCAGAAAGAGAAATTAAAACTATGATAAGGTAACATACTACTAAAAAGTCTAAAAAGAAAAACACCAACTCAAAGGAAAAAATAATATATAATGAACTTCACTCAAGCATAATGATCCCACTGGGCAAACTTTCAAGTACAAAAATGACATGGACTGCAGATGGTAGACTTCCATCCCAAGGAAAAAGAACATGAGAGAAGTCTAAGGATTACAGCACAACTACATACTCCTGTGCAGGAAAAATCCTTTTACATTAACAACTGTATCTACTTTCTTTCACAAAGGAAAACCTCTAAAAGGCAAGTGAGAGCTACTGGCTTCTGCAGGACTACTGAGGACTACTGTGCTACTAAGCTGGCCATGAAGGACAGGGTTAAATTCTATCAGGCACTTGAAAAGAAATCAATACGATTTGCCAAACGTGCTTTGGCTGAACATCAAAGATTGGGTCCCTGATCCCCTAGAAAGTTTTAGAGTACAGCAGTGACTTGAATGCTTCAGTACCGTGAGCTGTTACTAACCCCAGACAAGACATTCAGGTTGACAAGAATGCTAAAGTTTCAAACAGAGAATTCATTCATTTTGTAAGGATCATACTGATATATTCTTGACATTACAGAATTTTAACAGGAGTCCTCAAAAATTCTTAAGCTTTGCAATAATCAATTAACTAAGGCCTGAGTGGAATTATTGCATTGGCTAATGGAAAGCCAAAACATTCTCCTAGAACATGGAAAGAACTAACTGGATATAGTAAAAAGCATTTCCAAGTTTCCCAATGAGGTGAAAAAATCGAGTTGTTTTTACTCATATAGGGCACTTTCACCTTTCACCCATTCCACTAAACTCTTTACAAGCAATTTTGAGACAGCCAAACTCTCAGGAATGATGGCAGAAGTGAAAGCAATGCTCTGGCTTAGAAAGGAGAGAACCTGATGATCATTATGATCATGTCTCCAGTAAGAACATCAAAGAGCAACCTAAAGCAAAAATGAATGATTTACTTTGTCGATTTGGCTCCCTGGAACTACCAGAGAAGGTAGCATGCAAATAACTCATAATAACGTGAAATCCGAAATTTAACCACCGCTACCGTGTTAATGAAATTTCAATGAACCACTGACACTACGCCAACTAAAAAAAAAACCAACCACACAACCAAAAAAAAAACTGCTGTAGTGAAATTCATGTGATTACTAATTACTTTAATGGATATATTCTACAAGAAATCCAAGTGCTAAGCCAATCGATCATCATTATACTCTTGTATCGAAGTCTACGTAAAACTCTTGAGAACTAACACTTTTACACAATAATACATGTAACAGAAAATAAAATATAAAGTGCAAACAGTAATGAAGATGGCTGACAAATTTCTTTTCACTTATAGTCATGGGGAAATAAGTTTTGACCACATTACTGGGGAAAAAAAAAAAACCATAAAAAAATTAAATTAAGTTTCATTCTCCAATTTTCCAGTTTAATTTTCTGTGCTGGTTTGGTTATGCTTGCAAATGTGGAAAAATGCAAATTAAAAGAGAGATTACTTAAAGAAACACTTTCCATTTGATTCAGGAATTTTTAAGTTATATTCTCCATAGCTAAGAATATGTTCACCTGTCCTTTTAACAGCTTGTAGCTTACACTGACTTTCTGTGACTTTTCTGAAGGCTGGATTTCACCTGTTTTTTTTAAAACCTTGGGCTTCCTGATAAAGTTGATGGGAGTTAACTCTGCAAAGAGATCACAGTTCTACCCCATTAGCATCACAAAATGTCACCTTCAATTGCATACATATTGTTAGCCCTGCACCTCATAATGATAATGAGACAGCACTTATGTAAATACTGAATATGTGCCCTAAGCAATTTGTCCACAGCCTGGCTTGTCTGACTTGAAAAGTATGCAGGCAGCGCAATCTAACTGAGAACTGCTGGCAAAGCTGAGCATTCCCTTCTGAGCAGAACCAGGTGAGACTGGTTCACAGGCTGCCAGAGCACAGCCAAGAAACAAGCTTTATCTGACTTCTATTGCAGTTTTATTGCAGCCTCCTGACCCCCTAACTGCAGTCTGCAAACCAACTCTGAATACTGACATCACCTATCTGAATAATGGATGCTCAATGCCTAAAATCTGTTTACAGAGCAGCGTAAGTTACCCTAAAAAGGCAGAAAAGAAGTAAATCTCTGCATAACTAACCACAATTTAATCACAAAAAAACCCCACAAATTATGTGCTAGATCATAGCACAAGACACAGAGGGCAGGAGAAGGCAGGGAAAATCTTGAACAAAAGGATTTATGTACTCTGAGTATCAAAAAGCTAATTTGCAGAAGGTAAAGATGGCTCTGCACCACTTGACGATTCCTCTGTGGGGACCAAATCGTCTCCTCTACATATGCCCATTTAAGGGCAGTCTTGCAAAGGAATACCATCTAAAACTGCCATATGCAACTCAATAGATTTGCTCAGGAAATATCTTCCTCAGCTTCCTACTGAGGAAGCTTCTACACTACTTTCAAGAGTGACCATAAAATAGTATTTGTGCTGTGTCATGTATATTTTGAGATGATATTTTGATAGCATCTATGACACCTCAAGTAGCAATAGAGCTGTACTAAATGTTTAACAGGAAATCATTCAATCGTCCTGTAATAATCAGGAATGGATATAGCATGGACTCTTCTATATGGATTAACTTTGTAAGCTAGCTAACATGAAAAGTGTTATAACAATTGTTAGTGAATATAACTGAGGGAAAAACACAAGGAATAATACTTTTGTTTATGAAGAAGGTAAACTTCCATTCTCCCTCCTCAGACGATATATAAATGTTGAAAATGTTTCCTTCTTTTTTAGTGTAGCACATTTGCTGAAGAAAGCAAATATCTCTAAAAATTCAGGAAATCACTCTGATTTCTGTACTGCAGAAATAATTAGTTGTGAAAAAAGGTTAAGAAGTGTTTATGAAAAAAAAGTTCAGCAGCACAGATTTCAACATTATTTTAAAAATACTGTTTACACAGAATGTATCGTATCATACAAACGTGCAGTTAAACATTTAAATAATATACTGATATTTCATCATATACTGCTTTGAACAAACATATCTTCATTTAATATTCTGATATAACTAGATACATAATAGTATGTGTCTCAGCAGTGATTTGTTAAAGGCTAAAACCTTTCCAAGAGTTAATGGAAACAATGAAGCAGCAACAGGATTAATGACTTCTGAAATTTACAGGACATCATGAGGACATCATCATGTTGAACAGCTCCCAGAGAAGAAGAGTCAATGAGTACACTTTAATTCTGTACCTCCACAAAAGCCTCCTGCTGTAATTTCTTCTTCAAAAACATCAGAGAATCCTCTTCCTGCATTTAATTTTGACAGCCGACCATCAATAAACTGAAAAAAAAAAATATATAAAGGATGTATGTTCAAGACAACATATGGCTTAAGGATAAAATACTGCTTTTAGATGGATTTTGCAAGAGCAGTTGCAACTATGAGTAGCAGAAATGTCAGAGTATTTTATGTAGATCAAGTAAATTACCTATATTATGCAAAATTTACAAATTTTTGTCCAGAAATATTTTAAATGGTTTTCAAGATTTTCTTGCCTTTCTAATGGCATGAAAACATATTAACTTATTTCCTTACAAATAGTAACTTTGGATTTGTAATCATAATCACATAAAGGTCACTCAGACACTCCCTGATGTTCTGTGGTGAAATTATAAGTCCACTTTGCATCATTAACAAAACAAACAAACTTCCCTACGGTATCCCTTTCTGGGTATGCATCAATGGGTCCAATGTAGAACTTGCTGTACTCAAAAAGTACCTGTAGAACAACTGGAAATATTTCACCACACCCAGTTCAAAGAAATAGCAGGTTACAACATCTACTTGAGGTCCATTAAAAGCATACGTGTTCTACATGAAAAATGACCCTGTAAGGACAGCATCTGAGGGGAAAGGGTAGCAGACTCATCCAGCGAAACAGCAGACGAAGCCTGTGGCTTGGCTTCAGAAATGCTGGTAACAGCAGGTTGGATTTGACTGCCAGTATGCCAGCTGACTCGAAGGACATTTCATTTAACTGTATGGAATTTGTGACAAAAAGCGCTAAAACAAAGCGAGGTATAATGCCAAGGCAGAGCCCTAAGACCCTCTCCACCTGACTGAGCACAGTTCAGAGTTGATACCAAAGTATTTTTAAGTTCTAACACATCTGTTTACCCTTTTTGGTTTTTTTAACCACTAACGCTTATTTACATGCACCTACAGATGCCTGTTACAACAGTTGTCCTTCTGCAGAGGTTACAGCTAAACAAGCACAATACGTAAAGGGCGAGTGTCAGGAGGACGGAGCTGGGCTCTTCTCAGTGATGGCCAATGACTGGACAAGGGGCAACGGGTGTAAGCTGGAGCACAGGAGGCTGCACAATAACATGAGGAAATCTTTTTCACTGTGAGGGTGACAGAGCACTGGAACAGGCTGCCCAGAGAGGTTGTGGAGTCTCCTTCTCTGGAGACATTCAAAACCCGCCTGGACACGTTCCTGTGTGACCTGCTCTGGGTGGTCCTGCTCTGGCAGGGGGGTTGGACTAGGTGATCTTTTGAGGTCCCTTCGAACCCCTCACATTCTGTGATTCTGTGTGATTTGCACATATGTATAAGTGTATATACAAAGACTGAAACGATCCAAATATGTCAGAAAGTGAAAATAACATAATTAATGATTAAACCTCTCAGAAGGAATGACAACATACTTTTCAAGAATTACCCAGCTTCAAAGAAGTACAACGAGCACGTTCTTAAAGGTTTAAAATTCTTTCAAGAAGCAACACCTCCCTTTTTGTTTTGAAAAGGTTAACTCAAGTCTGAGAGATAAAGTGAGAAAGCATTTTTCCAATTATACATGGTTCATCTCCTAGCAAGAATTATGAGTTATTCACTGCTACTAAACAGTTCATAGGAAGTAACCAAAATTATTTATTTGGCTATACCATATTTCACCACAGATCATCCAAACAGTGTCAGTGACAATCTGATGCTTGTCAATGAACAGACTAGTGACATGAAACAAATTACTTTCTTAGAGTACAAACATTCCTGCAGCAAGAATAAGGCAAGCACAAAGATAACAATGTCTTTCTCTTTCTTGTCTAAATTCCTTCTTATTTTTTCATTTTACTCCAAGCTAGCTTTTTTCCAGATAGGTTGGTTCATGGTCAGACCACTATGGGATCACTGGATTTTTTCACAGTAAGAAAAAGAGATAAGAGCATCTTTAGCTACTGCTACGGAAAAAGAAAAAAAAACAAACCACAACACCCCCCACCCCCCATCCCCAGCCTTTGAACTGTAAGGCGTTATCTCATTTGGGAAAGATAAGAATTTGTTCCACAATACAAACTAACATAAGATTTATGGACATACTCATCATTTGGTAAAATTCTATCAACAGAAGGCTGAGACACTGACTGAATTTCAGTTTTCAGAGGATCACTGCAACTGAGTATTTAATGTAAATAATAACAAATGGAACTGTTAGCAAAAAGATATTGGAGACATTATTTAAAGAAAATGATAGCTGTTAGTAGTGGTAATAGTAGTTACTACTTTTGAGTAATTTACTGATAATGGTTGCACATCAATTGCTACATGAAAAGAACAGCATGTGGAATTACACATACACTTTACAGTTCTCTCTCCCATTTTTCAAACCCATACCCTTGAAAAATCTGGGCCTGCCATTTCAAGAAACACATTCACTTTGAGATCTGGAGAACCCTTGGTTGATTACTGCTTTCAACAAAAAACTAGTTATTCCAGTGCCACTCTTGGATTTTAAGCTGACTAAAGACAGAACTACCACAAACCTTAAGTACTTTTGAATTCTAAAACCAAAATATCGACCATATCCACTTCAGAAGATCTTGTTGCACAGGTGATAAAGGGTGGGGGAGATGATGTTTGTGAGCTAAACAAAATCATTTATGTAGGCAGGAGTAAAAATTCCCACTCATTATTAAAAAGAAAAAGTTGGCAGAAGCGAAGAAGACATCAAAAATGTGATTTTCTCACAATAACAGGTCAATAGCTTGCCAGAAGACAGCTCAACTCATAAAGCTAGTAAAGGAAATTTGAAATTACTAATAATTTTCAAAGACTTATGATTCTTTAAGTTCTAATCCTACATTCATTATTTATTTTTCTAGTTAGCACTTTCTACCATTTTGGGAACAAATCCCAGTAAATGTTGCAGATGACATTACTTATAGAGTTACACTATTTAATGAGATAGTCTAGCATTGGGCTTCCTGCTAGTTCTAAAAATGAATGAATATTTTCCCTGGACACTCATCAGAACTATTTGACATGTAAGATGCAACTATTAATTGCTTATGTTTGCAGCTTGAAAGAAAGATTAGCTACCTTCTAGGGTAACCTAATTAAATGAGAGCCTTTCTAAGGCTCAGAAAAAGCTAATAGATAGCATACATATTAGTACAAATATCAAAGATATAGAAAAAAAATACAGTGAGAAAAGTAGTAACGTAAATATACAGTTTAAGAGAACAAACATTTACTCTGAAGAAAAATTGTCATACATAGTATATTTAATCGGGAAATAAGAATATTTAATACATAAATAATAGTTGTTTTCTTTTTAAGAAAAAAAAAAATTAATATTATTAAATATCCTAGTACTTTAAGAGTAATAATAAGCAGGGGGTTTAAAATTTCTGTTTCAGGGCAGAAAACAGCTTTAGAAAACTAAAGCAAGCAAACTGAACTTCACACATCCCTATACTTGTGATCCATATCAGGGTATTTATCATATGAATTCCTGGAAAATGTACGAATCGCATAAACAGTTTGATGTATTCTGTTTCAGAGCAATATAAACAGTTCCTTCAATTTCCAAAAATGTGAAGTCCTCAACCTGATGCAAAAGACATCTCCCTAAGTTGTAAGTCCGAAAGAATGGTTTGAGGCTAAAAGATAATCTAGGCATTGTCCCTGCCAAAATTATCTTGTCTCAATTTTCAGTAAAGACTATGATGCTGATTAGGGGGACAAAAGTACAGGTGTTAAAGAAAATAAGATACAGAAACGGACATTGTAATACCTAAGGAATAAAACTTTGGTCAAAAACCCCCTAGATTAACCTCTGTTACGCGATTCTAAAGAAACCCGCACACATATCTAGAAGTAAAATAATTTTTATGAGTCTATCAAGGTAAAGAAAACACAGTTGAAGAATAATGGTACCATTACTCAAAAAACAAAGGCTGCAATAAGTGCTGGTCTGTCAGTTTGCCCTTAGCAATTTGATGAGGCTTACAAACAGTTTTTTTGGGGAAAAATGATAAATGAGTAGATGGAAAGATATATGAGTTATCAAAACACTGGTTCTCACAGATTCCTTGACAATTAATTTTCTAGATAAAGGAAATACAATTTATCTATACCACAAAAAAGCCTCTTGCATATGTCTCAAAACACTAATTCAGATGAAATAAAAGCAGGGTACCTGAACTCTGGGTTGGATGAGGCCCAAAAAGGAGGTAACAACTTGTAACAAAAGGAAAAGTCTCAGGCTGGAAGTGTCACCAGTCATGGTATTTAAGGGTAAGTGTTGGGACTGATCCTATTTCAGGTTAGTTAATGATTTTTGTACAAAGGACTGGCATACGCTAATACATTTGGGGATAACATTGACAGAAAGCACATCAAAATGCAATACAAAGTAAAACCAGATGATGTTGAAGATGAAAATAATCTGAATGGGAGTAACACAAAGAATTAATACAATTTATTCCAACACTGATTTCCTGGTACTTTGGTGAAATGATACTACAACTTCCAAAATTAAAAAAGTGGTTAAATTAGAGGAATGAACATGTTTTAACGCAGGAGAGAGGGGGAGAAGACTAAAAACCTACAAAGAAAAAAGGACAGAGGAAGAATTTTATAAAATGGCACAAATAAAGCTCACTTGTCAGTTATATGTATTTAAAATACGTATTTTCTGCTTGGTCTAGGTTTAAGGCTGCTTCTAAGAACTATTTTCTGCTTAAAAGATTTTCCAGAACAGAATAGAACACAGTTTAGGCTTTTTGAACACAAACAACTTTGAAAACAGCTCATCTGTCAGTGGGAAAAACTGGACAAGATGCAGCTGGGCTGAGGATTATCTGAAAAAGCAGGAGTAACCTTCACAATAGAAACTAGAGGAATGAAAAAACCTACCACTACTACTACTACTACTATTAAACCACACGTCATCAACATTGTTAGTATTTCCTAAACCTGTAACATACATTAGTTCCTTTAGTTGAAATAAAATTAAGCTATAAGGAAACTGTAGATTGACTCTTTAATTGAACACGTATTAAAATGTAATGGGTCAGCACAGAGCCACGCTGACAAACCCATTCATTTCAGTGGAGTTAAACCTTTTTTGTAAGGTTTAAGGTTTAAGGTTGTAAGGTTTAAGGTTTAAGCTGTACTTACAGCTGAAGATGTTGCTTTAGTAGGAGGAGTGTGACAACAATTTAGAAACATCGCATGTAGGCAGCTTTCTATTACAAAAGTTTCATTCTAGCTTATCACACTGAGATACACAAAATGTAAACAACACTGCTTACTGTTACTTCTTTCCATTTCTATCATATGTGCCAGATACTTCAAAAGGTTTCAGATTTCTTCTTTATTAGTCTATATTTTTATTTACATTTTGTAATTGTATAAAATAAAACACAGTAAAATTAAAGGAGCTAAATTCTATGATCGGTATTTCCTTAACTTTTATACAATTAGGAGACAATATCCAACATATTTTCACAGGGCTTCTACCAACTATCATCCTTTCATAAATCTTCACTTTAGACACTAGTCTCTGATTAACACCAAATGTTTTTTGAAAATTAGAAGATTCTACATATAATGAATTTCCCTTATCTATCATGGTAGTATATCTTCAAAGAAGTCCACCAGATTACTTAAACATGAATCATTCCAGATATTTGCAGGAAAATATATACTTTTATTAGTCTGCTGATTTCATTCAGATTTTTCTTGATTTTCCTAAAAATCTATTAATAACTTTCTTAACACCCTTCTGATGCAAGGGTTATGTGTTGAAAAGGCAGAAAAGAGAGTTACAGAATAAAATAAAAGAAAAAAATTCATTTCAAAGACTGTAATAAAGCTATTACTGAGCTGTGCCAGACATTCAACAATTTGCTCTCTATTAGTTCAAAATCTGCATTAACAGATCAGCTAGAATATTCTTCAGGCCACCCCTATGGCTCGGGTTTGTAACATTCTCTGCGTGCATACTTCAGAAAGCCTAGCAATGAAAACTGCAATTACAGTATGAATCCAGTTTTTAAATAAAACACCACTGAAGTCCAATTTAAGTAAGCCCTATGTTGTTTAGGTTCTTTGGTCATGAGCCAAGAGAGCTGAAAATGAAGTTCAACCATCAAGCTGGGAGATCCATGATTTTTCTTGTTTAGATGAGTTGCTGACTGGCTCTGAAGAGATTCTGCACTGGCTCTGCACCCTGGGGTTATTTTTTGTTGAGTTTCACCACTTCACCACTCTTTCTAACTATAACTGAAGTTTTAAAAATACAACAAAACAACAAAAATACAGGGATGACTGCCTGTACACAAAGGGCTTGTATTTTATCCCAGAGTTTCATAAGCTGACAGAAAGGAAAACATATGTAAATATGGGTAAGTTTTAAGAGAAAATCATTAAACATGGGTCATTTACCCCCTCATACCTGTTTAAACAGCTGAAGATTAACAGCAGTTTCCAGGAACTGCTTAGTAGTACTGGAACGATGCTTCACAAAGCTATTCTCACAGAAAGTTATAGGCTCTCCCTAAAAAATTTAAACAGAAAAAGTTAGATGGTAACTAGAGTATACAAATATGCTGATTTATTTAAAATTCTCCTTTACACATTTATTTATTTCTTAATAGTCAATACACACTAATATTCCCTTTAAAGCAATCTTGATAAACATGCATCCAACTAAACAGACGCAGACAACAACAAAAGAAGCCCAAAATCATCATACGACACTTAAATAGTTCTCAAAATACATTTTGCAATTGAACCTCTGATTTATTAAGTCAGTCTACAAAATACACATTGCAAGGAAAAAGTAAAGCAGTTTACATTTGGTTCATATTACCTTTATAGCACTCTTCATTAAAAATTGCAAGGAAGTAGTTTAAATTGTGAGGAAGAGCAGGTCCACTGCTCCAAATAATTTAACATGCATTATTTGTTCAGGATTACTCTGATTCCCTGGCATGCTAAACCAGCAATACTAGCAAGCCAAAACTCTTATTCAGTCCAAAACCATGTATCTGCACCAAATTATTGTTATATTTATTCTACCAAATCATGAGACGATTGATAAATATACCGCTGATTTAACAGGAAATTATCGAAATACACAGCTATTTTATTTTTACACAAAACCAAAAGCTACAAAGTTTTTGGAACATTGTTATGGAGAAAGTCTGAACAGATGAGAGTAACATTTAATACAATAAAATCTATTTCCCCAACATGGGAACAGTGCATAGCCTACAGTTACCAAAAGCCCTGCACCAAAACACTTCAATGATGAAAGAAGATAAACAAGTATTCACTGAAAACTGTTTGTTGATTAATTTATTACTGAAAACAGCATTCATTTAAAAATAAAAAGATGCTAGTAAGATTATTTATAAACAATCAAATTGACTCCTATGTTATTCCCTAATTTCATTTAAAATTTGCTGTCTTCACTGTGCACAGACCACTGAACATTTCTGATCAGCATGCTCTCCAATTCTGCTATTCTTGTCAACACTTTGTGATAAATACTTGAAGCTGTTCAGCATAACTGGATAAATAATAAGTACATTACAAAGTCCGTGTAGTGATGGTTCAGTTCGTGTAGGTACATGAACCGATTTCACCATAAAGCCAAAAGGCCTATCACCCAAGTTTACAAAACCAAAATAATTACCAGGTTAGAAACAATTATCAAAGGTCTCAAAGACAGAAAACTTGGAAACCAACAAAATGCCCCACCCAAATCTACCATAGAATATTTTACTACCCAAAAGCTACACATACAGGGCAGTGCCACAACAGAATAAAAGACACCTCAGCCGTTCAAAAGAAAAAGATCAAAGACAGCTGCTATACTGATCTTCACAATAGCTCCAACTGTTAGCCACTTTAAAGATAAATTTATTCAAGCCCATGATCACCACAGATTTCTTCTCCTAACTCTGTTTAACTCTAACCACACACGTTAATTCACGCATTTTCCTATCATTCTGGCTGACTATGCAGTTATGTGCCTCCCGAATATCACAAAGCATTTTCTGCATGTGACCCAGGTTAGTTTTGTGAGTAGCTCTAAATCATTTTCTATGGCTCTTTACACCTTGCACTTTGTTTTTAAATGGTTCAAGTAGAAGCCAAGGAAATGTTGCAGTAAAAGCGCTGTGATGTCATTTTTAAATTCTATTCTTGTGCTATCAAATGGTTCCCTCTTTTTTAAGTCTCTCTTTTAAGAGGGCAAATCCTACTCAAAAAAGTACTTAAGTTCATGTTTAACTTGTTCTTAAGTTTAACAACCTTATTTCTTTATGGAACCTCTGATTTTAGAAAAGAAATCTCACTGGAAGAGCTAGAAGCTATACATTTACCTAACGTAATCCTTCCCCTTTCACAGGGTAGCTGGAATGCTGTGATATGCAAACCCACCTCAGTACAATATGTAGCACTATGTCAATCAAGTCTCCAGAAGCACCCAAGTTACTCCACCTACTACTCATCCCAAGGTAACTTGTGAATACTGTACACATGCAGGATGTGGTGGATCTGCCAAACAGCTTGAAACGTTTGTGGTACTTTAAATAGCACTGCCTTCCTGACCCACTTTGCATTAGCTATTCTTGAGCTCCTAAAGACTCTTGTCTTAAGAAGATGACCCCAAGCTACTTAGCAAATTCAAAGTGCATCAAAACAAATGGAGTAGTCTCCAGTGAGACATGGTGGTACAAGACACAGTGCTCCTCAGGGCAGACTCTCTTCTCAGTTCTGTCGTTTTTCTAAAAAATTTCAAGGCAGCAAATTATAGCAACTCCTTATTTTTATATATATATATATGTGTGTGTGTGTGTGTGTATATATATTTTTGCTGTAGTTACACAAAGAAATGCTTTCTGGAAATACAGAGGCTTTGTGGGAATGCAGAACTGACTAGATGATGGCTCATGACATACAATGAAACATTAAATTTAGAACCAAAGAGAGGAAATAGTATTTTGAAAATACACTATTTAGAAAAATAAAAACTAAGCTATGCCTCCACTGCCACTTTCGCAATTGTCTTGGGAAAGATGAAAGAGAAAAACGAGAGGTTATCTCCCAGAAGAAAACAGGCATGCTTGCTCTTGCTTTCCCATCAGCCTGGGAAGAGAGAGCAGTCAGACAGTTTTACCTGATGGCACTTCTCCTGCCTGAGCCATGCAACAGACCGACAGGAAATGGTAGTTCAACGCACATTTTTAGTGCACGGCTGTAATATTTTCCCAAATACTTTCCTTCAATCGCTGGATGTTTCAGATACCTAGTAAGCACTCATGCATTGGCACATCTGTTCCCTTATCAGTACAGTTCAGAGACAGAATAACCAAAGCTATTCCTTAGCTGAAAATTTATTTAGATCTACAAAGAGTTCACATCCAGAGTCACCTATGTTACTTGAACCTACTGATAGCAAGGTTGCTTTAAAAATTTGAGTAGGTTTAAACCTTCTACCTATTCAGCACATGAGAATGAGAAAATTTGTTGAAACTTTTTGAAATTCCATAGAGGGAAGTTCTCAGGGCATCTGCTGTAACTTTTACTGAAATTGCATTAAATAATATAATTAACTCCTAGCTCTATTTGTTCAAGGCTCTGAATAACAAAATTGTTTTCCAAATAAAAGTTCTACAAATCTTCAAGATTATTACTGTAAACACGAAGCCTTTTGAAGTGCTATTTAAAAAAAAAAAAAAAAGTATTGAATCAATATAAACAAAAAACGCTCCAGAAGTTTTTGTACATAAAGCTTACAACATTCTTGTTTCTGCAAATACAACCAGGTACCTTTAGAAACTGAGTTTCGGAGGAATGCTCTACTGATATTTAACTACTAGACCATCAAATGGCCCCTGTCGTATTGATCTACAATGTACTTTCAAAACAAGTTCGATCAAAACCCAGTGGGGACTCTATACTGAAAAGTAGACAGCTAATACTCAGACCAAACAATCTATGCCCAAACAAGATATCTGTCCTTTCAACAACAGTTGCTATAGAATTTTCTTCCCCTTTCATAGCTTGCCACACACAGCAGGA